GGCTCTTAACACAATGCCTGGCATCTAACACTCAGTAAATGGGGAACTACTCTTATTCGTATACTGCTCAAGTTATTATGAAATTACTTCTTTCATTCACACGTGTCTTTAAGATCTTTTAAGTTCTGACTGTCATTTTAACAGCTGCACAGGATTCCATGATTTGGAGTATTGCCTCCTCCTAAATCTATTCCTTCTGCTGTCTTCTCTAACTCAGTTAATAACACTGCCTAGTCACTAAAAGTCTCTTCTCGTCGATTCTCAGCTCCTCTTTAACACCTTTTTCCATTCAGTTATTAAGTTCTACTCTCATTTTAGTTCCTAAATATACTCTTAATCTCTCTTAATCTACTCTTGACCCGTGGGGCCCTGACTCAGTTCATTTGCTCTTCCTTTCTCACCTGGACCACTGCAGGTGAGTGAAGAATTCTTGTCGTTCATGAGACTGCCTGTCACCAGGCTTATGCCATACAAATTCACCTGCGAATCTAGCTGTCAGATGCAGATCTGACCATGTATCTCCTCTGCATATCGTATGTGTGGCCCGTGGCACTCGTGAGACCTCGTGCCTGCTATGAGATTTATTGGTGACGGCAACCTGTGAGGCAGAGGGTCCAGGATCTGCCAGGCCCATAGTTATTTCATAGAGAGGTAGGCAGGGTTGGATGCACTACAGAGAGCCCTCCAGTAGAGAATCTAGTGCCCCACAGGTGGCTCCAGGAGACAAAGAGAACATCTAGTTTTAAACAAGAAATGTCCAAACACCGAATCCAATACGCCACCTTTGGGATGTCCAGAGAGTTTTTGTATCAGCTAGAGAGTTTTTGTATCCAAGTTGCTGACAGCAGCCAGGCCTTGCTATCCTTCCCAGAGCTGGGTACAGGAGGGAGGGCTCCACAGCCATCCAGCTGCGACCACAGGGTTTGTCCTTCCCCAGCTACTCATTATGTGACCAATCCTTAACACTCACTTTAAATTCCTGACACCCCACACCACTTGTGATTGTCCAAGTGGTTCTTCCTGAGTTCATGCTTTTCGCCAGCCATGGCTGGCCTGACCCTCACGTGGGGATAATCTCGAGAAAGCCTACTGCCCCTTCTGGGCTCCTCTCTGTTTTAACTCACTGTGGTAACATGGTATGTCTCTGTGTTTGGATCACTCCAAACTAGGAGGGAAGGGTCTATGTGACATTCCCCTTTGTGTCCCCAGTGCCTGGCACCAGGCCTGACATGTTAAATAATTGACTGAATGCGTGTTTGAGTAGGCCATGGAGGAAAATGCAAATCACCTGTAATCACGTTACCCAGATAACCACCGAAATTAATTTGGGATATACCCTCCCAGACATTTTTTCCCTGGTTTTATGTCTCTATATTTCTAATACACACATTGTGCACGTGATACACACCTTACCATAAATATATTTTTATTTATTTA